TACGTTTTTCAGTTAGGACTCACAGAATTACTTAAATATTTACGTTTTTCAGTTAGGACTCACAGAATTAATTAAATATTTACGTTTTTCAGTTAGGACTCAGAGAATTATCTAAATATTTACGTTTTTCAGTTAGGACTCAGAGAATTATCTAAATCTTTACGTTTTTCAGTTAAGACTCGGAGTATTACCTAAATCTTTATATTCCTAAAGTCACAACATATAAAAAATACAACAATTTCAAGTGTACTGTACACCAGATTTGAAGACAAAGTTTACTAAAAACAAGGAACATGTTTTGCCAAGCTGGCAAGAAACTAGTGAAATTAGGGGTGTGAGGGTTGACCAGGAATTGGCCGAGGCTTATTCATCATTTTGCAGGACCTCCACTCCTATGGGTTGTGTGGCCATTTACCCATTTTTATTTGAAACTTTTTACTGAACATACGATTCCAAGTTCGCGTGGGTTCAACTCTTTTCCGTTCCTTTCCACAGGAACTTTGAGACCCTCAGGGTTGTGTCTTGAGTGTCACACTTTTTTGGTATAAAAATTAATGCTATCACTATTCAACTGCCTACTACTTTTGCAAATGAGCTCTATGTCGACGACTTCCACTTCTCGTGAAAGTCGTCGAGCATGAGGTTTATTGAATGGCAGCTTCAGATTGTCCTCACTCGCTTGTTGAAGTAGACCACAGTAAACGGTTTTACATTTTCTTTTTTCAAAACGGTTTGCATGCATTTTTACCACCAAAGGGGGTTTACACCCCGATCCCGAGCTGTGTCTCAGCAATGTTGTTCTTCATGTGGCTCTTCTCAAGTTCTTGGGGCTCACCTTCATTCCACACATCAAGCAGCTACGTGTCAAGTGTACAAGGGCTCTGAAAACCCTCCATGTCCTCTTTTCCATGTCTTGGGGAGCGGATCGATGTTCTATGCTCAGGATCTATTGTGTCCTGATTCGATCCAAACTAGACTATGGGTCTTTGATCTATGGTTCTGCTAGGACCTCGGCCCTGAAGGTGCTGGACACCGTTCACCATCTGAGGCTTCGGCTCTGCACCGGAGCTTTCCTCACTTCTCCAGTCCAGGGTTTGTACACTGAGTTCCACAAAACTCCTCTTTACCTCTGTCGTTTGCAACTTTCTCCACAATATGCTACCCAGCTTCGATCCTTACCACGACATCCCACCTGGGATTATGTTGTTCTTCCTCGGTGGGCA